TTTTAGTCTTTACCCTATAAGTTACCGCAACTATTGCTTTACTTTAATTACATTTACAAACCAAGAATCCTCTGGAAACATGTTGCATACTGTTATTCTTAGTTTCCACTCGTGCGTTTTAATAAAACAAAAGACCTGATCCAATCTGTTATTAGCACAATATTTGGGTCTTTAGTTGCCTACAAAGTGCTACGTTACCATTATAAGGTGATCTATAGTTATAAAATGATCTATTTACCATTTGATGTGATGCATACTGTGACAAACAAGATTGGAGCGCATGTCAGCTTTGACCTCCTTACAGCAGCAGTTTCACTTCTGTCTTTGTTGCAAAATAAAGTGGTTGCAAACAAAAGATCCACCATTGTGCAAGGCGCTATATAATCAGAAGCTAAAATCCCAAGCACAGATTACATTTAGAAAATGGACAGGCACGTCAACATGATGAAAACTCACTGGTGCACAGTGGCGGTTCTATCTGGAATGACACCCCTGGCGAGACCCCCTTCGAGCTATCTGTTAAATGTATGTATTTCTCAACAAGTACTACTTCGTTTTAATTGTTGGCTGACTCTGGTTGAACGCATCTCTCTCTTTAAACAGGCTATTTTAATACTGTAATCTGCTTCTTTTTATTAACTGATTAAAATAAAACAACTAATTGAGGATAGAGCTGAAGCAAATGTCGCTTTGTTTCTCCTGTATTGTGAACATGATAAATAAGTGCACATTCACAAGCACTACAATACAAATGCACTTCTCCTGTAGGCCAAAAAATAAACAATTTAAAACCACTTTTTGTCCATAAGAATAACAATGGAAATATACAACATATGCAGCATTTAGGCAGAAACTAGTTTTTGCAGATCAGATCTGTTCTTGGGTTGATCCTTTATGAGATACGGTACGAGGAGTGGAGCGCTGAGGTTCTCTTGTCGGTAGTCAAGTGGAAACATGGTGCCAGTTACTACTGAGAAACTATTGGTCCTAGAGAGAAAGAGACAGAGAGAGAGAGAGAGAGAAATGAGGAACTATTAACTGATAAAACTATTGTAATTTACAAAAGAAGAAACTATTGCACCTACTGGGCCTTTAGAGTCTTGTTCATTCTGGTTAATTTTTGCAGACTTTCATTTTTGTCTTTGTTTAACACCTTTTAAACTGTCAAACTCATCTATTAGTCTGATTTATAAAAGCTGCCAGAAACACCAAATACAAGACAAAATAATTAAAAAATAACCTCTTTCTCAACTTATCTCCACATGATATATAATTACAATTACGTTCCTATGAAAAACACATGCATAGTGTCTTCACCGATTAATAGAAAGAGAGATTTATTCTGTAATAACCAAATTAAAATATTAATTAAAAACAAGTTAAAGTTTACCAAATGCTCCAATTATGTGGTCACATCCTGACAAAGACCTTTTCTCCCTCCTGACGTGTTTTGTAGTGACCTTGTGTAAAATTACACACAAAATGAGGATTATTAGGACAAAACGCATTATTTTACACAAGAAAAAAAACATATTCTACTGTTTCACTATACAGTTTTAATTTGTAATCTCTGTATTGAGAAATGACTGCAAATCCAAACAGAACAACTCTTTTTGTTTCAGCAACATGTTTGACGTCTATACCACATGCTCCTGGTCTTTTCCAGCAGCCAGGCCAATTTCTCACTGTTTTTCCTCCCTGTAACAAAAAGAGAATAAACAATCAACAAAAAGCATTGTTATACACATTTACACCTTTACAACAGTCCCACTGAAACATTTTAAAATAACCAAAATCATAACTTTTGCAGCTCGCTCATATTTGACATTTATACTTAAACAATCCACAAATACAAGAAAAACTCCTTGCATTCAGTGACCAGCAGTGGACCTTCATACCTGATCATGAAACAGTTAACCATCTCTCACCTGAGCGATTGCATCAGTAGAAGTGAAGGCTGTGATGAGCAGGAAAGCCTGCAGACCCAACAGGACAAATAGCAAAGTTCTGTCCATGGCTGATGAAGTGAAGACAAAGCCAGACAAACATTTATATGACCCGATGTGGACAGAGCGGAAGCAATAACAGGGTGTCGGCCGTGCTGCGTTGCTATAAGCGAGATGCAAGTCATGTCTCGGAGATGCAAGTCATTAGCGAGACACTTGCTGATACTAAGTGCTGATATTAAGTGTTAAGCTGAATCAGGGTTAGGCAACCTGCGGCTCAGGAGCCACATGTGACACCTCATTAGCATCAACTAAAATGTGTGAGTGTGTGTGTGTTTACTGCGTTCTGTCAATGTGACAGTGCTGTGTAGTGTCTGTATGTAAAGCTTAGTTATATGTTCCAGGATTGGTGAAAGTAAGTTAGCTGCATTTTATAACTAAACAACTAAACTTTGAACTATTGAGGTATACAAAAATGTACACGTTGGAAAGGTACAGATCGCCATGATCACATTCGCACATTCCTACGTGGAAGATGCTCAGTACAACCACAGCGGTTGGCGTTACGGACCTTGCTCAAGGGCACCTCAGTGGTGGTAAAGTGCTGCTTCTTCACTTTCCCCACCCAGACTTATTCGGCCACAAGCTCACTTCTCCACCACTCAAACAGTTATTTAAAGAAATAACAATAAGTTAAAATATTTTAACACTTTTCATTACCTTTTCATTGTATTTTTCAGCAAGAACTGATTTGTCCATAATAAGTGAATGCTGCAATGGTCTAAATTGATTATTATTATTATCAAACTCTGTTAGCTGCAGCAGTGCCGACTACAAGTGCACTTTACCATGGGCACATGCCACAGCAGACTGCAGGGGAAAAAACGGGTTGCACTATCCGACTTCACAGGGGCTCTATAAGGGAGAGCCATGACATAAAATAAAGTTAAATAAACAGAGAAAAACAAGTCCCCATGACTCGAATGAAAATGAGAAAATAGAGCAACAATAAAATAGTGATATTGATAGTGAAAGGGTTAGGGTCAGTGTGACAACATTTTAAAAAGTTCAACAGAAGTGCCGTCCTAGTGGGCCGTTTTCATACCTTACAGGATACTCTTCTAACAATATTACCTTTGGGTACAGAAATTATACCTCTATTTCGCTGTGTGCACATATATATATTTTTTTTATATATTTTTTTTTATATCTCAATGTAGATTTGAAGCAACACAGAAAAATAAAGTTGGTGAAAAGGATTTTAAAAAATGACTATTATATTTAATACAACTCAATTTAATCAAGTTTACTTTAATAAAGTTGTGGGGGGGGGGGGTTTGGCTTTGCTTTTTCATGTTGGCTTTACTCAATGTTTAGTCTTACAGCTGCTCTATATTATTTAGTTTTCCCGACTCAAAATGAAGATAAGATGGTGGCCCGTCTCTAAGCTAAACTAACTGTCTCCTGGTTCCAGCCTCATATTTAAAGCAATAGTTTGACATTTTGGTAAATACACTTATTAATTTTCTAGCTGAGAGTTAGATGAGAAGATTGATGTCACACTCATTCTGTATCGGTACAGTGAATATGAAGCTGCAGCCAGTTACCATAGCTTAGCACAACCACTAGTGGCAGGAAAATATTGGCTATATTTAAATACAATCGGACCTCCAGCACCTCTAAAACTCACAAAACACTTACTGTAAACCTTTGTATGGATTCGAAAACAAGATGTCTGGGCTTTAGGGGTGCTGGCAGACAGATTGTATTACCTTTGTACAAAGCCAAGCTGTTTCCCACCGTTTCCAATATGCTAAGATACGTATCCTAACTCTAGCTTCATATTTAACAGACAAATACGAGACTGATATTGATCTTCTGTGCTAATGGATAAAACTGTGTCACATGCATAAAATAATGTCGTATACGTAATGTAACGTTAAAATCACTTTGTTTTGAGTGTAACAGCGACGTTTTTATAATAACTGAACACTTGCTAGATGGGTGGTAGCTGTTGTAACAGAGCAGTGAACTAAGGGTGGGGAATACATGTTGTTGCATTACCACTTCTATAGAACAACAATGAGGAAGCGTCACAGAAATTAAGCAACTTAGGAGGCTTAAATA